TGTGCGTTACTGCCCTCACAACGGTACAGACAGCAAGGCGGTCAGGTGTCTCTTTTACAGCTGAGGCACTGGAGTGCTACTGAGTCCACACTAGAACCTTGAGCCTATGGACATCATGCATTGGCGTGTTGGACATGTGACTGCACTGGCAGAAATCACAAGCTTCACACCCCCCTCCCCTCCAAGCTGTAGACTAGCCCAACTGGGCTTTGGGCCTCTCGCCTAGTAAGCCGTCTCCATCTCAGAAAAGCCGCTTGTGCACCCTAGGCCCTATAACCACCCAAAACCCGGCACGCTAACCTGCTTGAAGCTGCATCCCGTAAAAAGGCCTCGCCCCGCACCCATTCCAACAATTTCTTTCCTAAATCTCTGAGAGCAAAGAATTGACATCGGAGACTTGAACTTGGCGCCGCGCTCCTCTGTCTCCTCGAGTTCCTCCTCCTTCCAGATTGGCTGGTCGTTGGCCTTTTGGAAAAAGAGATATATGGACGTTGCGATTGTCATGCCCATATGAATGCTGCTCTCTGTGCGTTAGTTAGGCTGTACTTGTATACCGCAGCTATGTGAAGCACTTCCCTCTGGCAGCATGACAACCCGAACCAGATCTTCCAGGATGTATGCACTGCGCCAACACGCACCTAACCTGAAAGCCACACGGAGCACTTGCAAACTGTACGGCTTTGGGAAACGCATGGAAACTGAGACCAAACCCCAATATACTGCTACCTTCAGCACCTCTAAACCCTGAATTCAACATGCTTTTGGATGCTCTCGCCGCCAGATTGAAGAGCAAACTGGCCTTCACCAGTAAAGTTGGCGATTCGGCCGGCTTCGATTCCTATGAATTGGAAGTGATAGCAGCCAAAGAAATACCGTAGGCAACCCAAGTGCATGAGCAAAAGTTTGCTTGAAGCGGTTTGGGCTCAGGGGTTAGGGTGTAGCCGGCAGCTGTAAGTATGGCTATAATAAGCACCCAGAGAATTGTCTTAATTCGGAGAGTCTTCATGACTCTGCCCGAAAACATTGACCTCCAAGGGAAGTGGTGATCTATGTGATCTACTCTCTAAACTAAGCGTGCCTTTGGTAAATTCTAGGGTCTAGAAATGTGGCTGAAGGTTCCAAAGCGGCTTGTCAGTCAAACATCTACAACTCACTCGGTGTCCTTCATGCCACTTCTTTCAAATGTTGGCAATTCACATGGCCTCTTTGGACAAATCAAGGATGATCGGTCTTCCAATTCATTCTGGGTATGCACTGCGCGAAACACTTGCAGATTGAAGGCAGACGCCTCAAAAAGATGTTTAACCCACTCCCCGTGACAATAAACCTCAGCACCAATGAAAAACAACCCCCACCCCAAATATAGTACTATGCTATTTTAAGGTGGAAGAGTTTTCATTGGGGGAGGGGGGGGGAGAGGGGATTACTGGCGGTTGGAAGTGATTGCTGATTGCTTTGAAAGCCGGGGGTTGGTGACCCTCCAAAGGAGCCTAGGTCCTGCAACCTGGGTTGCTGTTAAGGAACTTCAACTAAGTTACCATAATGGGAATATATAGTAAATAATAGGGTTTCCCCAATGTAGTAACTTAATTTAAGTTCCTTAACAGCAACCCAGCAACCATCCACCAGTTTTCACCTCAGAGCCAGTATTGCGAATGCTTAATTGTGACAGTCACAAGGGAAGAACGGACAACAAAGCGCCACTTCATCCTGACACAGCCGGACAACCCCGAACCCTAAAACCTAAACCCTAAAACCTAAAACCTACACCCTAAACCCTAAATTCTAAACCCTAAAACCTACACCCTAAACCCAAAAGCCACAGACTCATTTGATCACCCCACAAGAAGACCCAGCTCTAACCCCTCCTGCCTTCGGTGTAGACTCCGGCACTTTGGCTGCTGGCGCCTAACCCAGGGAATAACAGGGCCTTTGTGGTCTAAAGGTGCTATAGGGTTGTTGGATTAGAGTTTAGGGTTTAGGGTTTAGGGTTTGGGGCTCGAGGAAATATCTACTCGGAAGATGATAGCCCAAAATGGAAACGAAATTGAGAAGAGCTTGGAAAATGAGATGGAAACTACTATTTGGGGCTTAGGCTCGATAGGGTACCTAGGTAAGTCGCCCCAATAAAGTGGAGGATCAAACGGAGCAGAGCGGAAAACATCATGGAAATTAGGTATACATGGGGGCTTAATCGGGATAGTCGCCCAGATACTGTTTGTTGCAGGCAGGAAGTTTGTGGTTCGCCTTGGTCATTGCTTTTGGAAACTAGCTGCACAGGCAAGCCATGTCTCAGAGGACCTGAAACGTTCAAGATGCCATCTGTACTGACGATTCTTACATCTGCAACCGCACCCACTACCTTGGAAGCTTGATGCCCAACCCTAAACCCTAAACCCAGTCCCAACTCAAACCCAAGCCGACCATAGCTGCCTCCCTCACGTCGTCGGCCCGGTCCTCTTCAGTGATATCCTCAATTGTCCTGAGTAAAATCCAGATGTCCAGTACCACTTGTCCAGCTTCAGGGGCCTCTTTTGCAAGTCGCAGTACGGGTCCAACTTCTAGTCCCCCTTAAGAAGATAGAATATGGGGTATATGAGGATCTTCTTATAAAATACCCAAAGCCATATTCTATCTACTCAAGGGGCATTATACACTGTTCTGAAGGTTCAGGAGTCACGAAGTCAAGGTTCAATGAGAAAATGGATCCTTGTCAAAATACTCTCGCTTCGGTAACCCTATGCCTTCATTGCAACATCCTTAGGAGACACGACTAGCCCTGGCCATGCTTGATTGGAGGCACCGCTTGCTGAGAAATTGCATCCGATGTCCAAACTGATCTTTCACCTGCACTTCGAAGGCGAGAAGACCATTGTCGCAAGCACGTTCCTAAAGTACTATGACACACTCGTTATTACAATCACCTTTGTTGAAGAGGGAACCCTGACTCCTGGGCGCTATGCATATTAGCCCTCAGCAGCATGGCACAAGTTATTCCGAGTGACGGCTCCGTGTCAGGAAGTAGGGCGCCAGTCTCCTCTTGACGTGGCCGGGTTAGTAGGGAAAAAGGAAATATATCCTTTAGGGTTTAGGGTTTAGGGCTAGTAGGGAATCGCGAATAAAGGAATATATTCTATAAGGATTATGTAGGGATTATAATCCCTTCTTCCCTACTAACCACCACCAAGTCTTGATGGTTGTGAGGGGGACATCAAATTGACAAGGAAACTACGGGCCTTGGGGGGTTGTATAGGTTGTAGGGGGTAGGGTGAGAAGAAAATCTAAGTGGAAAAGAACATGCAAAATAGAATGGAAGCTGGGGTTGTACTTGTGCAGGGATGTTCCGGGGGCTATGATAGGGTTGTTTGTAATTTGTACGGAATGAAGGAATACAAAATAAAATGAACACTCGTATTGTTGGGGAGCTCCATGTAGCCCCAAGAAGGCAGCATTTGTAGAGTTCAGGGCCCCAAGTAGGTAGTATAGGGATCTTTTCTGCAAGCTGTTTTCGTCCGCAGTCTCTTGGAGTTCTAGGCCCCATTCCGCTCGTGGACCCGAACAGTATCTCTGTAGAATCTCGAAGTGGGATGCACTTCGACTGGGAGGAAAGTTTTGCCGCACATGCTTTGGTTCCAGCGGCTCTTACCGGGACGTCGGGGCAGGGGCCGGATCCGTAAACGCGCTGATCGAGTGGATGCAGGTTGCAAACTTCCTGCTTCAAGTTTAATAACAATAGTAAGAATACGAATAATAAAAATAATAGGAATATTCGGAATAGTAATAGAAAAATGGATAAAACAGCAATAATAGTAATAATAACAGTGGTTGGAACAGCACGAAGAAGAGGTGAGCATTATAGGAGTGATGAAGGGGGACGCTAGGAGTTTGGACAATAGCTTGCATGAGAGGCTTGGGCTACAGCAAACCCTTGAAGCCTACTCCCCGAAGCCCACTTACCAATAAGTCATGGTATATGTGGTTAAGGCCTAAGGTTTAAGGTCTAGGGTTTATCGCCGATATGTCAACAGTGTTACCCACAGCCCCAAAACCTCCTCCAAGAGTTCACTTGACCTTATGCAAGCCCTACAGTGCCCCCAGACCCTCCCATGTAGTTCCGTTTTGGGGTAGTAAAGTATATACCCTGAGCCCTTACCCAAAAACATAAAACCATAGCAAACCCAAAAAGGAACAGGCCCTAAACCCTAAACC